CTTGTGGAGGCCATCAGACCCCCCTGAAGAGGATCAAGTGCTCCTAACCATGGAGTCATCTCTTTAGCTTTGACCTCTAATATAATTAACCCCATATCATTTGACATGTTCTCTGAAGTAACTACTGTATTTAATTGCCTACTTTGTTACCATCTTGTGGATGCATACTATCCACTTGTCTGTTTATTTAGAACAGGGTCTTGCTACTTAGTCTGGACTGGCCTTCAATTTGCCATCTTATTTCAGCTCCCAATTGCTGGAATTAAGGGGTTATGCCATGATGCCTAACTTTGCACCTAACCCTTTATTTCTATCACCTCTCCTCAAAAGTTTCATTTCTAGTTTTCCCCAAGTTATCTATTTGCTTAGGTTCAAACCTAGTAGCCATCCTTGATTTTTCTTGTTACTTTGCTCCAAAAGCAAAATGATCAACAAGTTCTGTATTCTCTAAAATGCATTCTGATCTCCCCTATTTCTAATAGCACTTCACTAATTTTGCCTATACAAGACTGTAACTCTAACTAGCCTCCCTGCTTCTTTTCACTTCCACTGGTGTACAACTGTTTTCCCCATAAAGCCTGAGTAATCATGTTCAAAAAGTGAAATCATATCAAAATCATATTAAAATCTGGAAATGGATGAATTGCTATAAGTTAAATTTCCATCATTTATGATGGCTACTTTATAAGCAGACATAAAAATTCCAAACAATCTCTTCTTAGGAACTAAGTATCATGAAGGAAACAAGTACTTTTTAATGAATATGAGTATCAACACAGAACCTGTAGCATGTGGTTCATACAGAAGCTCATGCTTTGCAGGGATGCTGAGTGCTGTAAGGCTACAAAAAACACTGTGTGAACAGAAAGTAAAGAATGTGACCCTAATTAAGTAGGAAATTTTATGGCTGATCTGGCATTTAAACACCTTTTTAAAAAATTTTATTTTTATTTTATGTGTACGAGTGTTATACCTGCATGTATGTTAAGTCCATTTGTATTGTGCAGTGCCTGCAGAGGACTGAAGGGGGCGTCAGACCCCCTGGAACTGGAGTTACAGATGGTTAGCTTCCATGTAGGTGCTGATATTCAAACCTTCTGCAAGAGCAGTCATACTCTTAACCACAGATCTCTTCAGCCCTGATTTAGCATTTAAACATTTCTCTCAAAACATTGAATGTGGGGTGAAGAGATGGCTCAGTGGTTAAGAACACTGGCTGTTCCTGCATAATACCTGGGTTCGAATCCCAGCACTCACATGGCAGGTAACAACTATCGTAACTCCAGTTCCAGGGGAATCCAATGGCCTCTTCTGTCCTCCACCGGCACTGCATGACACAGGTGCACTTACACACATGCAGGCAATACACTCATACACATAAAATGAAAGTAATATTAAAAAAAATTAAATGTACTCTTGTTCTGTTATAAATATATAAGGAAATAAAACTACATAGCAAATAAAAATAAAACTAAAATCAATTTAAAAATAAAACAACTTTTAAAAAATCTATAACAAGTTAATGCAGAATTATGTCCTTTTTTTTGTATGTGGGTGGTGTTGGGGATTGAACCTAGAGGCTTGTGTATGCTAGGCAAGGCCTCTACCACTAAGCTACACTGGCAGCCCCAAATTACGTGTTCTATATGTAATATATTCTTTTATAATACTAGGCAAGGCCACTACCACTGAGCTACATTGGCAGCCCCAAATTATGTGTTCTAAAAGTAATATATTCTTTTACAATATTATCACCAATATTTTTGCAATCTAAGTTTAAAAATCCATGCTCTCTTTGAAGGACACTCAACAAATAATATCTCAATAATTCTAAAAATAAAAAAATGATGTGAAATGTATATTTTATTAGAAACTACATACAACTTGTTTTAAGAATGCAGTTAATCCACAATCTCTATTTCCATCATGCCCTGCTTTCCATTTTTTGTTACATACACTTTGCACCAGTTATTTTTTTGACCTGATATTACATGGTAATAGTTAAGGTTCTAGAAACTCATGACATTCCAAAGAGACCAAATAGAGCAGCTTTTAAAACAGAAAATTACACAGAAAAAACAAGACAGATGGTTCTTGATTAGGTCATACTCCAACATGTAGGTACTTGAAAATAGCTCAGCATTAAGTAAAATTTAAAAATACTACAGCTACCAAAAAAAAAAAAAGAGAAAAAGAAAAAAATATTACAGCTATTAAATCCTCCCAAACTATGTAAATTTGTGAGTCTTAAACCTCAAATCTCTTTATAAGGTAATAAGTATAGCTGTCAATCTGATCATGCAGTCAATATATCTAATATATAAAATGTGTCTCCTGACATACTCTTAAGAATTAGTTGTGAAACAAGAAGGGCGTCAACAAAGTCATAGTACATAGCAAACAGCTTTATAACTTAGGAAGAACTTCAGTGTATCTAGTTTAGTGAACAGGGCACTGACTCTGGAATACAGAAGGCCTAGGATTTTGGTTTTGGATATACTACTGATCAATTGCATGATCAGGCTCAGGAAGAGTCTGAACCTTTCTACAAAATGAGACATGCTGAACCAGAAAAATTATAAGAGTCTAATATTTTTGAATCTTAAGAACAATTTTAGTAGCTTGGAATAGTCAGAAAATTATTGTTTGATAGAAAGATAAATTTCTACCTAAATGGAGGGCTTAAGAATCTACTTCAAGTTAAAGCAAAAACAGATCCTTTGATGTAACCATATGGTGCCCATAAATCAATTTATGCTCCTAAAACTTCCTCACAAGCTATTCAGTTTCTATTGGTTAATTATAAAACTAAATAAGGTGAGAAAAACACAAAACCTTGCTAATTTCACTAATGAATCAAATTTAAAAGACATAAAAAGAAGCCAATGACTTGATGTATGCAAAGCCACATTTCATTAAATCAAGTTTTCTAATTTGTAAAAGCTTAACGAAAAGGTAACATAAAGGCAGGAAGTACTTGAATTTCCAAATTCCCATTTAGGCGGTGTAGTGAATGTTATAGAATTAGGAGAAAATCTCGTTTTTTCTTGAATTATAATTGAGTGAATACCTTGTTACTTTGAAACTCTGAAAACCTTGCTGAACTCTGTTTAAAGTGACACGTCATGGACAAGTCAAACGCATATCTGGTAACCATGGCAACCTAGCCATAGGAACCGAAGTGTGAGATGTATGCAACTGTGTGATAAGCTACTTATCCTGCATAGAGTGATATGGGCTGGACTAATCAACTAGAACCAGAGCCTGGCACTTATGTCAGCACTCTGAAACTAGACCAGCAGAAACCACATAAAAGGACAAGTTGCAGACCTGCTCCCTGATGCTCACAAAGACCCCCAAGTGTCGCGGACACCCGACTGTCTGGTGACATCCCCACGTTCCTGCCCGAGACTGCCCCCGACTGCAGACTCTCTTGCCGATTATCTATGGATCCGGAGACGCAGAACGTGATCCTGACCAAGCAGGGGGAGGACCCGAACCTGAACAGCGTCAACCAGGGCCAGGAGAGTGCACTGGATCACGGCGGAGCAGCTGAGCTTTTCCACGGAGGGCTTTGGACTTGGACATTGGGCCCAGGCCCGGAGGTACTCCCCGAGAGCAGGGATCTCTGGAAACTCTGGGAACCTGGTGGCACCTGGTGCACTAGGCCCACTGGTCCAGACCTACTCTGACTCTCCACCTAAAGTGTGTTGTTTGTTTGCAACTCTGTATTGCTTGAATTGATCATTCAATATAAATTGTTGATTGCAACACAACACACGTGTGGAATCTCGTCTGTCCGTTGTACCTGTCCCAGCATTAACTTATGGGGAATGATTCTCTGAATCATTCCTCAGGACAGGCGCTATATTTTCATTTAAACACTGGCAAACAGTTTAAACTTCCATCAGTGCACGACTGTACTGTATGGGATTTGCCACACAATTCCACCAAGTGGTGAAGTTTTAAACTTACTTTCCAGTTATACTTTCAATAGGTATTTAAACGTTGAGGTCTAGGCTTAATTTATGTATTAATATTTATTAAGAATGCTCCTAGGTGCCACAGTTTGAAGATCAGGTTCTGCATTTAAAGACCTTGGGTAGGGTGGGACTGCAGGGGAAAAAAGTGCAACTTAGAAGCATGATCAGTACAGCCAGGAGTACGGTACAGTAAGAGACCAAGGCATAGGAGCATCAAGGAAAGCTTCCTGGAGGAAGTGACCAATCCGAGGCGGCGAGATTGCTGTAAAACTAGTTTTCCACAACACCAACAGCGTGCGAGTGGGCTTCGGGGACCCAGCGGGCTCTGCGCGCACATCGAGTCAACGGGGGTGCGGGGGGAGGCAACGGACAGCCATTTGAGAAACGGCGGGCCAGACTTTACCAGGTAACCGAGGCCAAGCGGGCGGCCGCGTCGCCACCTCTCGGGACTTACCCAGACAGCCCTTCCTCCTCGGCTGCGGAAGAAAGCCCTGGGTCACGGACCAGCCTGGCCCAGAGTCTAATAACTACTGAGGCCTCCAAGCTCCTGAATTTCCTCACACCAAAGTTAAAAACGAAACCGTCTCTGGTTGCCCTTCCGAGCACCAAGACCCGGGTTGCACTTCGAATCCCGCGCCCAGGCCGTCGGCCCCGCCCCTTCCGGGAAACGACTAGCTGCGCTTCCAGACCCGCGCGCGTTTGCTTTCCCCACTTTCAGCCGGCCCGGTGCGCGCATGCGTGGGCCTGTTGCCAGGGCCGCCCGGAGAGCTTCCTTTCCTCTTAGGCAAATCGCCCGCCTCGTCGGGATTGGCAGCGAAGGAGCGCGAGCCTCAGTTTTCCCCCTGTCCACGCCGCCTCACCCGCCCGCTGAGGAAACTTCCGGTTCCCCTCTCTGACCCAGGCGGCGAGAAAGTGGTGGAGCGCGCAGGCGCGGGCGGAGTCCGGGGGCGGGGAGGGGCGGGGCGCAGGCGCGGACTGTCCCGCGGCGGGCGCCTGGGCGCTAGGCTCCCGCCTCCTCTCCGGGCCGGTTTCGCCGGCCAGCGGCGGCCGGCCGAGACCCTGAAGGGACGCTCTCGGGGTGGCCTTCACGTCACGACATCGCGCCGACTGCGTTGCCTCGGACGACTGCGACTTGGAGGTAGAGTGAGCGCGCGCTTCCTCTTCTGCCCCAGGAGCGATCCGCGGTCCCCCGTGCCTGCCGCGCTCGGCCCACCTGGGAGCCACGGGGTGTGGGAGCCCGGGGCTGGGCCCGGCCGCGCGGGCCTCGCGGGAGGCGCAGGACCTGGGCGCCCTCCGCAGGGGCACCGGGCTGCGCCGCGGGAAACTTGGCCGTGGGCGCGGGCCCGCCCTCTCGCATCCTCCGGCGGCCCGGCCGTTGGCGCGGAGCCGGCGAGGTCGTGTCGGGGCTGGGGCCGGTGTCGGAACTGGGCTCCTGCCGGGTAGTTCGCTCGCAGACACCTACTTAAGTATGTTTAAAGGGCGGGTGGGAATGCGGCTTAAACCTGAATTTGCCGTTAAATCCAGTTTCACGGAAATGCCAACCGGATCGCCCAGACTGGGTGAAATCGTGATAATGTGATGGGTTTGGGATGGCATTTCTTTTCATTCCTTGTGGAGCTGGAGAAGAATCCCGATTGGCAACTTTGGAAACCGGGACCCGAGGGTAGAGAAAGGATTTTAGGAGCAATACCTTGCTGATTCCTAGAGAGAGTGCCTGACATTTAAGACCTGAAGACAGAAGTTACGTGAGCCCCTATTGCTGTTCGTAGTTAACGAGTAGGGAGATGATTAAGCCAGTGTTTTGAAGGCAAGCGTTGTGCAGTGGTGTATTCAAAGGGAGAAAAGTCAGCTTCCCTGACTCTTAGAGGGCTGCTGTGTTTTAAGTCTGCAGTGCCCAGCACAGTTCCACGGAGGCTGTGGGTGATGGAGAAACCTGTTAGAGCTTCTGTTTAGCCTCATCTAATTGGTGTGTGAAATACACAGTTTTTATGTTGCAATCTGTTAAAAATTTCTGTTCCTGAGGGTTGGGGAATATTGTGCTTGGATGGAGTGCTTGACTAGCGTGCAGAAAGCCGAGTTTGATTCCCGGCACCACATACAACCCAGCGTGTTGGTGCAGGCCTGCAGTCCTAGCACTCAGGAGGTGGAGGCAGGACATCAAAAGCTCAAGGTTATCCTGTGCTATATATAGCAAGTTCCAAGGCATCCTGGGCTACATGAGCCCCTTTCCTGAGATGGTGGTAGCCTGTAATCCCAGATCTCAGGAGAGGCTAAGGCAAAGGATGGTGAGTTACAGGACTGCTTTGGGCTACACAGTAATACTGTGTTGGAAAAAAAAACAAAAACATTCTTTTATTGAATAAGTGTAAATACAAAAAAGCTTAGAGACCAGTTGTGTATTGCTTAGAAATATGTTTTTGTTTCAGACAGATGTGTGGGCCTTTTGCAGAGTGATACTGCCTCCTTCAGTTCTAAGTTACAGAATTCTTGGGAGATTGATTTAGTATAATGTGTTCAGTAGTGACTGAACCCGACAGTAAGTTAGTATAAATGGCATGTCAAGTTGTGGTGCAAAACACACTTTATTCCCTCATAGGTTTGTTCTACTGTCAAGTCTGTAGAGTTTTTTTGCTTTTTAAAAGATTTGTTTTTAAATTTATGTGTATGTTTTGCCTGCATTCATGTAAGTGCACCCGTGTCATGCAATGCCTGAGGAGGCCAGAAGGGGGCATCAGACCACTAGGGACTAGAATTACTGGTGATTGTTAATGGCCATGTGGGTGCTGGGTTGACTGGGAACCCAACCAGGTCTCTGCAAAAGCAGCTAGTGCTCTTAGTCAGTGCTCTTAACCACTGAGCCATTTCTCTAGCCCCAAGTCTGTAGACTTTTCCTTAAAACTTGCCTGAGTCTTGACTATTTTAATTGTTAGGAAAATTAATGTGAAGATACAGTTGGCTGCCTGAAGGTGGTTCAATGGTAGAGTGCTATTTTAACATAAGGAGACCCTGGATCCTAGCTCCAGAATCAAAAAAAGACTACTTGACTTACTTTGAAGAAGTAATAACTTGAAATTTTACCGTGATAGTATGCATTATATTTAAGACATACTTAAATATTACAGTTCACACCCCCCCCCCACACACACGCACGCTCTCTAAATCTGGCCAACTGAGGACAAGTGTGGTCATTTATGTTTTTTATTTACAAGTTAAATGAGTTATGTCTTCTCTCACTCAGCATGCTTTCCCTGGTCATGAAATTCAAACTGGGGTGTTACCTCCATTCCCAGATCCATTTCTATTGCGAAGTGTGTTTTACTATGTCATGGCCTATCTCACTATGCTTGGAACACTTCAAACTGAAGTACTTTCTTTTTTTAAAATATTTTATTATTTTTATTTTATGTGTATGTATGTATTGCCTGCATGTAGGTAAGTACACCCGTGTCGTGCAGTGCCCACAGAGGACAGAAGAGACTGTCGGATCCCCTGGAACTGGAGTTACAGACAGTTGTTAGCTGCCATGTGGGTGCTGGGATTCGAACCCAGGTCTTCTGCAACAACAGTCAGTGTTCTTAACCACTGCACTATCTCTCCAAACCCCCTGAAGTGCTTTCTAATAAAACTAATTTATTTTCTCTCCTTGACGGATATGCTTATAATGGTAGATAGCATTGAGAAGGTGAAACACAAAATGAGATTTTTAGGAAGCGAGCCCAAAGAAACATTTAGAGGGACTCTTAATGATGGAATTCTTTTGTAATTTTAATGAGAGGTACACAAGAAGATAACGGATTAATTGCCAATCACTGCCTACGAGTAAATTATCAGTTAAATTCAATTGTTTATGCTACTAGGAACATGAGCATTCAAGGTTTGACAAACCTGAATTTGAATCTGGGCTCTGCTAGTTGTTGCTTTTTACATCTAGCCACTAAGTTGAAGCTACATAAATTGAAGCCTCAGCTTCCCATGTTGTAAAATAAGGGCATGATTTATATCATAAAAGGATTAGAGGCTATAGTTTATCCCTCAGCTAAGCACAGTTATTCAACAAATGTTAATTCTATTCACTTGAAATTTTACTTGTTTTTTAAAATCTTTTTGGGTTCTCCTGTACTCCTTCATTCTTGATACTGCTATAGTTTTTGTTTATAACTTTATGGTTTAGAAACTGTCTCCTTTGGTACTATTCTTAGTGTATACTTGCAGTGGAAGTATGAGTATTCAAATCTTATTACCTGAAATATTGTAGTTTGTGCCAGACTTCTAGTTTTGTGGATCTTGAATTTCTTGATGGTTGGACTTAACAGTTTTTTCACTTAATTACTTAGTTAACCTCATTTGATTTCATAATATATTCCAAACAATATGCTTAGTTAATCCAGTACATTAAGGTTGTTGAACGTAGAATGAATATGTTTTGTGGATGTGAAGAGTACAATTGGGGATGTGGTAAATACCATTCTGAGCAGATGTCAGAATCTGCCACTTCTGAATAGCAGTAATTTGCATTTATGTAAAAAATTCTAATGGTTATAGAATTAAATAAGTAATTCTGTTATGTCTGACACTACTGTTAATCTCAGTTTTGGCATTAATGGGAAGTGTGAATTATTAGATACATAATAAAATTCAAGTAAAAATTTTATGATCCTGTTAAAATTCATAGAATCCTGTTAAATTTTCTTAGTCTCTAATGGCTGTACTGAATCCTATTAATGATTTTTCTTTTGAAAAAAATTTTTTTATTGATGTTCTTCATTGTCCTTGCTTTGATGGAGTTCTGTTTTCTGTAAGGGGAGATGATGTTTCTTAATTTAGGTTTTTTTAGGACTTGAGTATGATGATTCACGTCTATATTCTAGCACTCAAGTTTCAGAACAGTCTGAGCTACATAGCAAGGCCTTGTCAACACCAGAAAAAAGATTTTTTAAATTGTAGATAAGTATCAAAAAAAAACTATAGACTAGGGCTGGAGAGATGGCTCAGTGATTAAGAGCACTGGCTGCTCTTGCAGGGGACCCAGGTTTGGTTCTCAGCATCCACATGGCAAATAACAATTGTCTGTAACTCCAGTTCCAGGGGATCCAGTGCCTTCTTCTGACCTCCATGGGCATTGCATGAATGTGGTGTACTTACACATATGCAGGCAAAACATATAGATACATAAAAATCAATAAATTTTTTTTAAAAATCGACTATACTTCTGTGCAAAAGGTTTTTTAAATTGTAGATAAGTAGTATCAAAAGCTATAGATTAGGGGCTGGAGACATGGCTCAGTTAAGAGTACTGGCTGCTCTTCCAGGGGACCCGGGTTCAATTCCCAGCATCTACATAGTGGCTAACTGTCCATAGCTCCAGTTCCAGAGGATCCAGCACCCTCTTTTGGCCTCTGCAGGCACTGTATGGCACAGGTGCATTTATATACATGCAGGCAAAGCACTCATGAACATAGAACAAGAGAGGAAGAGAACACTAATGCATCTTTCAATTCTCATCAGTGAAGCTCTCTTATGCAACAGAGGGCCAGGAATACACAGATGGCCCAAACACAAAGAATAAGAGTACACAGACTGTGGGTCCTGGGACAGGACTCCTATATTGAGGTTCTCCTACCCATGGCTCAGGGACTTTTGCAGAAGAGGGGGTGGAAAGATTGTAAGAGCCAGGGAGGAGGTGCATGACTATGTGGAAATAGTCGTATAGGCACCTGGGACCCTTATACAAACCTACAGCAAGGGTGTCAGCATGCACAAGACCCAGGCAAATTTAGGCAGACACCCAGCACAGAACTGTGAAAATGAACAGCAAGCCCCAGTCTTAGTTGAATTATTGGCAGCTGATTACTGCTGGGTGAGGAAGAGCTGATCATCTTGAAAGGAGAGACTCTAGATAGGCTGACTAAATCCTGGAGGATGAACTTGCACAGAGGGACATCTTGGGACACTAACTTTACATAATAGTCCTTAACACAAATGACAGAATGTATGAACTCCAGTGGGTCGGGGGGTTTGGGAGCATGCCAAAGGGGAAAGGGGTATAAAAATGATTTTTATGTGTGAAATGCACAAAAATTCAATTAAAATAAAATAAAAAAAACAAAACAGAACCTATAGACTATAGCTCTGTCATTGTACTGAAAAACCTAGAGGTGTTTTTTCTTTTTTGTATCTGTTTATGTGTCTTTTATCTTGTAATTGTTTTACTATTTTTAACCTGTATCTCCATCCCAGGACATTCCTATCTGTTTTTGAAAGTCCTTTATCATTAAATTACAAAGTGATTCATATTTTAAAAGGTAGGGTTCTTCTGTGTTTATTAGATGCAAGTTACGTTGGAAACCTAATAGCAAACTGCAAATCCCTGGCTATACTCAGCAAATAAAAAGCATCATCATCATCCTATAGTGTTTGAATGTAGTATCTTTGGTGTAGAATAGACTCTCATATTCTTTGTAAGCTTATCACACCTAGCCTGGTGTACTTTCCTCACCTCAATTTTACTTGAAAAGCTGCTGTCTAGTGTTAAAATACTAAAATTAGCTCATTTCTGAGTGTTGCAATCAGATCATGTATTACTCATCAATAAAATAGTGGTTAAAGGGCATTTAATGTTGGGAAACTAGAAAGGAATGATTTCTCTTTGTTCTGTAATTTATAATTTATTATTAAGTAATCCATAAAGAAATAGAGGATGGGTGAGACAGAAAGTGTCACTGAGAAAATAATGACATGGTATCATTTGGGGAATTTAAATTAGCAGCAAGTTGATACTAACATACATTTAAGTCCCTTCAATTTATTAACATATAGCAAACATCCTAAAGATCTCTAATTGATCTAATAATTTCACTCTTAGGAATATTATCTTTTTTTTAATCATGTGAGAGTTTTGTACAGGTATACAGTGTGTTTTGATCAAGTCCATATTCCCTTCCATTCCAGTTCCTCCCCTATCCCCAACACCCCCTTCATGTTGTTTTTTTTTTCCTCTTCCTCACCCACTGAGTCTGCTTAGTGCTGCCAGTGTATGGGCATAGGTAGGGCAATCGACTGGAGCATGCCTGTCAGGCCATATACACTGATTCTTGTTCTTAAATAATTTGAGAAAACATGTTTTGTTTTTAAAGCTTGGGCTTCTGTAAAAGATTTGAAATTAACATTGAATTATTTGTAGAGAAAGATGCTAATATTGTGTAGTTGTAATTGCAATGGTAATATTTCCTAAAAGCGTATTAGTTTAGATTAAATGTCCTTTGGATTCCAATTAATAAATCTTTTAAAAAGGTGCTTGATTTATCATAGTATTCCGAGTTCTTCAAATGATATAAAATCCAAGTTCTTTGGAAGTATGATTTACTAGTTCTCAAACTAAAAAAATGCTTTTGAATCACAGGGCCTGAGGTTTTTGGATACCTAACCAGCTCCCATGGTATGTGGATGATGCTTGCTGATCTCGAGAACACATTCTGAACATTGTCTACAATTCATTCTGTGGTCCTCTGCCTTCCTAGTGCTGTAACTTATTTATTTATAATTTATGAGACTATTGCAAGGATTTGCTTATAGTATCATGATACTGTAGCAGCAGTTTGCAAAGTGTGGTGAACAGATCTTGGAAACTGCTGAATGGAAAATGGACCCCTCTACATGCTACCTGATAGTTGATGGCTATCATTGTTCTAACTGATGCAATGTGCAGTTGTGTTTTCTTTGTTTCAAAAGTTTCTTGGTTTTAACTTCTAATATGGCATATATATAAGTGTAAATACACACACACACATATAAATAAATAAGCTAAAGCTCTTTGGTGTTTCTTGTACTTTTAAAATACTTGGTCTATGTGTTATAGTATATTGGCCAAAAATAGACAATTGAGATGGATTATCTAGGGGGAACTTCTAGTGTAGACTATCACTACTTTAAATATGCTTTTTTGGGAAAATAACTTAAAAATCAGGTTTTATTTGATTAGCCATTACTTTTTAATTTACAAAAATTGGGCGAAAGCCTGGAGAGATGACTCAGCAGTCATGAGCAGTGACTGCTCTTGCAGAAGACCCTTATTTAGGTGTACTTACCCACATTCAGGCATAACACTTATACACATAAAAACATTTTAAAAAATTTAAAAATTGGATGATTATTCTAATAATTTCAGTAAGGAATGTGCCCTCTTTATTAATAGGAAACTAGAAGCCACCATTTTGCCAATAACATACTTTACCTTTAGTGAGTTTAGTATATATGGGTAGCCTCATATCAACTCAGTTGTGGCCATGAATAACTGTAATAGAATCAGCTGGTATGGATGATCCAGCTGATGTTTGTTGAGACGCTACCAATTTATTGTATTTCTTGTCTGGAAATTATTGGTCTACCTCAGATCTTAATGGACTAACAGCGTTAGTAGGGTTGTGTTCCTTTTTGGAGGTTCTAGGGGAAATCTGCTCTTCTAGCACTTTTTGACCCATGCTCTTTAACTGTGAGATGGAGTACTTGTATTTTATTTTTAAAGTGAAAATTTGTAGACAGTACTTAAAATTGAATGTTTTTAAAAATGTTTTTTATCTTTATTATTTTTATTTTCTGTGTATTAGTGTATTGCCTCCATGTATATGTGTGCACCCATGTCGTGCAATGCCCGAGGAGGTGAGAAGAGGGCATTGGATCCCCTGGAACTGGAGTTTTGGGCGGTTGTTAGCCACTATGTGGGTGGTGAGATTTGAACATGGGTTCTCTGGAAGTACAGGCAGTGCCCTTAACTGCTAAGTCATCTTTCCAGCCCCCAAGTTGAATAAGTTTTATGTGATTTATTTTGTTTGATGTTTATTGAGAAGTCACTAGATGCTGTCCTTGACTTAATGTTACTATTACTATAAATATTTGTTCAGACCTGATGGCCAAAAGAAAGGAAGAAAATTTCTGCTCTCCTGAAAATGCCAAAAGACCAAGACAAGAAGAATTGGAAGATTTTGATAAAGATGGTGATGAAGATGAATGTACAATTTCTTTCACTAATGGTACATCTACTTTGGTACGTAAAAATTATAAAATAATGTTTTTCAATTGGTTTCTCATGTGCATTCTATAATATTTCATGATAATTTTAACCAGGTGAAAGCAATGTTTTTAAAAGAGCGGAGGTAAAAATAACTTCTGATTTTGAACTTGTGTTAATAATTAGACAAATTAAAAATAATAATGGGACAAATAATTAAATCTTTGGAAAGATGAATAAAATTGACAAACCTTCTAGTGGCAGAAAATTGACAAAGGAAAGTGAGAAGACATAAATTGCCAGTGTCATGAATGAAATAGAGGCTCTGAGGACTGAGCCTACAAGCTTTAAAAGAATAAAGAAATGTAAATTATTTTGCACACATAAATCTGAAAATTAGGTCAAGTTCAGTTTCTAGAGAAGCAAAACTATTAACTCAGGATGGTTTAAATCATTTGTAGCTACTAAAGGATTTAATTCATGAAGAAGACTTCCTAAAATAGAAACTCTCCATGTCCCGTTTTTTTTCCCCTGGAGAATTGTAGCATAAGTTTAAGAATATTATCTTTAAAAATGAAATTGTATGCCAGGTGTGGTACCGTGTGCCTTTAATTCCAACCCTTGGGAGGTAGAGGCAGGTGGATCTCTGTGAGATCAAGGCCACCCTGGCTCACATTGTGACTTGGATGTGGGCTGTGACTAGGATGACCCTGTCAAAAAACAAACAAAAAGAAATTGTTAGGTCTAAATCTAACAAAATATTTAGAGGACTTCTGTGGTGAAATCTGCAATGCTGATGAAAGGAATCGAAGAGGACCTTAAGTAAATGAAGAGACATACTTATTCATGGATTGGAAGACTTAACATAGAAAAAAGTTATTTTTTTCCTCAAAATGATATACAGATTTGATGCAATTTCTATCAGGTATAGACATTTTCTCCTGTTTATATGAAAAGGCAATTAACTAGTATAACAAACAGTTTTAGAGAGAAAAGGAAGTAGGGGGTCATTCTCATTTTCAAGGCTTTGTCAAGATTGTATGGTGTTGGCATTGGGATTGATACATAGCTCACTTGAACAGAGTAGAAAGGATCTGCTCTCACAGAAATAGACCTACACAAATCATAATGAATTTCTTCTTGATCTCTCCATCCCCCTCTATCTCCTGTGTGTGTGGTCTATAGACCAAACACATATCCTACTTAATGTTAAGTAAGTGTATTCCTATCCTCATGATGAACTTAGTTTTTGTAAAATAACAGAAGTATTTCAGTAGAGAGGGGATGGTAGCCTTTTAAGAAAGGGTACTAGAGCAAATACACATTGATAGGTAAAACAATGAACTCTGACCTAAGTCTCTACCTTATATTGAAACTAATGTCAGGGACTGGAGAGCTGGTTCAGAGGTTAACAGCTTAACAACTGTCTGTAACTGCAGTTCCGGGGTACCTGATGTCCTCAAAGAATAGATTTAAATGTAAATACAGATTATAAAACTTGCCGAAACAAATATAGAAGAATGCTTTCAAATAAATGACTAGGCAAATTAAAATCTTAGACATAACAATAAATGCATGAACCATATAAAGAAAACTTTTGCTTTGCCAAATACTCTGTTAAAAACGGTTGAGCCAGGTGTGGTATCACATGCCTGTAATTCCAGCCCTCTAGAGGCAGAGGCAGGTGGATCTCTGAGATTGAGGCCAGCCTGGTCTACATAGTGAGTTCCAGGCCAACTGGGGATACAGGGAGACTCTAACTCAGAAAGACCAAAAAATAAAAAATTAAGAAAATATATAAAAGACTGAAAAGCCATGATACAGACTTCAGAAAAAATAGATACAGATCATATATCCAGCAAAATATTAGTATCTCAGATATATAAAGAACTCTATTTTTTATTTTATTTTTTATGTGTGTGAGTGTAGTGCCTGCATGTATGTAAGTACACCCGTGTTGTGCAATGCCTGAGGAGGTCAGAAAGCTTAGGATCCCCTGGAGCTGGAGTTACGAACAGTTGTTAGCCACCATGTAGGTGCAGGGAATTGAAGCTGGCTCCTCTGCAAGAGCAATCAATGCTCTTAACAGCTGAGTCATCTCTCTAGCCGCTCAAATAAAGAACTGTTAAAGCTCCACAACTGAAAAACAGACAGCCCAATTTGAGAATAAATAGATGACAAAGAGACATTTCACTAAAGAGGAGAATATACAGATGGCAGATAAGTACACAAAATGATGTGCAGTATTTGTCATCAGGTTTATACAAGTTAAGGTTACAATTAAAGAGTAGGGGTGTAGGTCAGTAGTAGAGTGGCTAGCATACCCAAGGCCCTGGATTTGACCCTTAGCAATGTAACAACAAAACTCAAAACGATATATTACTACATAATTCTCATCAGAATGATGAGTATAAAGTAGTGATAACAACAAAAAGCAAAGATGAAGAGAAATTGGATCATTTATACATTGCTTGTGGGAATGTAAATTGATATCACCACTTAGAGTTTGTTAATGTAAAAAACAGTGTAGACATGCCATATAACTCAGCATTTGTTCCCAAGAAATGAAGGTTTATCTTAGTAGAAAAATAGTACATTTGTGGCTGGAGAGATGGCTCAGCAGCGGTTAAGAACACTGACTGCTCTTGCAGAGGACCCGGGTTTGATTCCCAGCACCCACATAGCGGCTACAAACTGTCCTTAACTTCAGTTCCAGGGGAATCCAATACCCTCTTCTGACCTCCGTGGCATTGCACGGCATAGGTGCACTCACATACATGCAGGCAATACACTCATTAAATCTTTTTGAGACAGGGTCTCCCTGTAGCCCCAGCTGGCCTGGAACTCACTATGTAGACCAGGCTGGCCTCGAACTCACAAAGATCCACCTGCCTCTGCCTCCCAAGTGCTGGGATTAAAGGCGTGCGCCACCAATAAAATATTTTTTTTAAAAGTAGCACATTTTAGTCGCTTTATAACAAGCAAAATCCAAAATAACCTACATGTGATTTCAGTGGGTGAGTCCATTCTGTGAAACACTGCTTAGCAGTGAAAAAGATAGAGGCAACAGTAGAGAAATTAAACTGCGTGAAAAAGCCAAAGATTATGCTTTGCATAAATCCAGTTACTCATCATTTTTGGAATGACATTTATAGAAGGGAAGAATACATTAGTGGGTGAGTGAGTGGTCAGGGTGAGTTGAAAGGATGTGATTATGACTATGAAGAGATAGCATAAGGAATACTTGTGATGGAAATACTCTGAATCTTGACTGTATCCATGTCAGTATTGTGCTGAGATGCTGTGCTTTATTGCATGGTGTTTCCATTATCAGAAGCTGGCTAAAAAGTATACAGGGTCTCTTATTTCTTACCAGTTGCATGTGAATCTGCCATATCTCAAAAATACTTTTAAAAATGCCTGAATCATAAATTCTGATATTCTGCTTTTGTAAGAATACACGTTTTCTTTTTAATGAGATATTTGTCCAGAATTGAGATACGGAGTTTCTAAAGAAACCATTAAAATTGTTAGACACATCAAAATGGACTCAAATTACTAGGAATGATAAAATATGGCTGGTTTATTCTGGTACTTAAATAATTACAAAGTGCAGGTGACTACTCCTGGCCACAGTATTGGTTGAACAGTCTATAAACTTAATGCTGACAACTGTTTATAGTATGGGAGTTTTTTCTTATTTACTCATTTGGAAATCTTGTGTTCGTTATATGTTCCTAAAACTTGCTCAGCTCTCATAAATGTCAGAACCAGGATTTCACAAAAGCATGTCTCTCCTGTGTTCTTTGAATTATCCAATTATGAAATGGACGCAGTTCTCTCTAATTAGTTTTTGTTACACCAGTGCTTCTCAACTGAAAGTGAGGGGTGGAGTGTTGCCTTCTGCCTCCTAAGACATTTAGTGATCTCTGAATATATTTTTGATTGCCACACAAGTGGACAACAGATGTGTGCTACTGGCATCTAGTGGGTAGAACAGAGGCTTACGTTGATGCTAAACATTCTCCAGTGCACAGGACAGTCACTCCATTGCAAAAATTATCTGACTAAAATAGTTTTGTTAAAAAACTTTGATGTACTTGCTAAATCCTTTAAAGATCATATAATTAGTTAACCTAAAGAAAATTTCCTATTTAATTTTAATCATTAAAGTTACCACTATTCACTTTACATAACTTTTTTGGGGGGTGGGGTGTTGAGGCAGAGTCTCACTATGTAACACTGGGCTGGCCTGGAACTTACTGTGTAGACCAGACTGGCCTGAACTCAAGAGAACTGCCTTCCTCTGCCTCCTGAGTGCTGGGATTAAAGATCTGTGCTATCATGTCTGGCTTTCATAGAACTTTTTTTCATGATGATTCTGTTGGTCTTTCAAATGCTTGGATGTTTATGAGTGAATTAGACTGATTTTTTTCCAATTTTTGTTAATAGACTGCAGCAGAAGTTGGAATAATTGAGAGTATTCAACTAAGAAACTTCATGTGTCATTCGATGCTTGGACCTTTTAAATTTGGTTCTAATGTCAACTTTGTTGTTGGAAATAATGGAAGTAAGTGTCCTCTTTGCAATATACTTTTAGATGAAAATGCATGAGCTTTTGAAATAGGTGACTACTAGTGCTGTTTGGGTCTATAACTTGTGGTTTGCTAGTATTTACTGTCGATCTACACTTAAAATATGAATTAACTCTAGGTATGTTATTTAAGTAGTAGGTATAAACATTTCCTGTCTTTTTCTTTTTTCTTCCCTTCCTCCCTCCCCTCCTTCCTCTCTTGCTCTATTTTCTTTCTCCTTTTCCAGGATAGGATCTCAGTCTGTTGGTCAGATTCAGGCTTACCACAAACTACTGGACTCCAGGGAGCCTCCCATCTCCTTAGTAGTTAGGACTACAGGGCATGCACTACAGCAATTGCCTGCTTATTTTGAAAAGTTACTTACCTTGGAATTTATAATAGAAGGGGCCCTCTCTGCGGTCGAGGTAGCCTTACTTGCAGCAAACACTATAATAGGGTACAAATGAAGTGCTTTATAAATCCAAGCATGAAAGTAATAATTCTCATTGTGACCAAAGAGGCTTTTATGAGGAGGTTGTATTTGTGCTGGTACTTGAATGAAAATAGATTGACTTGTTTGGCAAGAAGCCAAGATGTTCCAGGCAAAGTTGGCTCATTGTCACATGTTCAAAGGGGTAGAAAGTATATAGGAAGAATGAATGGGAATAACCTTTTGTGGTTTCATCATATGATAATAATGGTACATGGTGGGGAATGGCAGAAGCTGATGTGAGAGTACTGTAGTAAATAGTTAAGCAGGGTTGTTGAGGATTTTGAGGTCTTTTTTTGTTGTTGCTGTTGTTTTGTTTTGTTTGGGGGTGGGGGCAGGATCTCACTGTAGCCCCAGCTGGCAAGGCACTTGCTATGTAGACCAGACTGGCCTCCATCTCACAGACATCCACCTGCTTCTGCCTCCCAAGTGCTGGAACTAAAGGCATGCACCACCACACCCACTGAGGATTTTGAAGTCCATGGTTTTAGAATTTTATTCAGTTGTCAGTGGGAAGCCAGTTAAAAGTTTTTTTTTTTATTTAAAAAAGCTTATTTTATCTTATTTTATTTTATATGCACAAGTGTTGTGCACATGTATATGAGTGCATGCAATCCCCAAGGATAGAAGAGAGTGTTGGATTCCCTGGAACTGGAGTCATGAAAGGTTCTTGGTTATTATCAGCCATGTGAGTGCTGGGAACAAAATCTGCACGAGCAGCCAGTGCTTTTAACTGCTTAATCCATCTCCCTAGCCCCCAGTTAAAAGTTTTTGAATAAAGGATGACCTTGTCAAGATTGTTATGACAAGCTAGCCACATTGTGGTGGCTCTAGTAGGCCAGCTGGATGTTAGGTGTGACTTTGGTGTGCACAGTCTACTACCCTGTGTCAGTGCTAGACAAGGAAATGAGATATGTAAGTGCCACAGTCCCTTCTCTGTTTTGCTGCCTTTGTCATTCAGTCAAATAAGTGAGAGGTTTTAGCAGGAGGCAGTGAACAGAGAAAAGGATCACTGCTACAGGGAAGTTGCATAGAACAAGAAAAATAAAGACTCGTGGTTCTGAGGATAGGTTTTTTTTTTTTCTTTTTCCCTTTTGAATTTTGAATGATTTCATTAATAAAACTTAATGAGGGTCAATTAATTGAAGCATTGGATTTGGTAATAAGGGGGGGAGGGAGGGAGGGAGGGAGGGAGGAAGAGAGAGAGAGAGAGAGAGAGAGAGAGAGAGAGAGAGAGAGAGAGAGAGAGAGAATGAGAATGAGAATGAGGATAAGAACTTGGAAGGCATTCCAGAAAGTAAATAAGGATATAGTTGTTAATGGATATTGGCTAATTTGGGGGTATTGTTGGAAGATAGTGGACTGTTAAACATTGGTTGGATTGACTGATGATGGAATTCAGAAAATGTTTACTATATTCTGGGAATTGTTAGAGATTTTGAAACTTGGATTTTTAAAATATTTTATTTTATGTGTATTGAGTATATTGCCTACATGTATGTAAATTCACCCATGTCAGGCAGTGCCTGTGGAGGTCAGAAGAGGACGTTGGATCCTCTGGAACTGGAATTCTGGACAGTTGTTAGCCACCATGTAGGTGCTGGGAATTGAACCCAGAGTTCTTAACTACTGGGCTATCTCTCCAGCCCTGGGATTTTTGATATTTTATGTCTTTTGGAGTAGAAAATATTACACTTCAAAAAAAATAATTAAACTTCAAAGAGAAAATGAATATTTGAATTATAGATAATAATTGTTAAAATATTACATAAAAACTGTGACTGTGCTAACTTTTTGCCTACTTAGAGTCATTTGTTCAGTAGGTATATGTGCTGTTTATAAGGATGCATCATTAGTGAAAGAGACATAGTTGGTAGTGAAATATTTCATAATATAAAACTTCTTTTTAAAAAGTTTGCCACCTGGGGCTGGAGAGATGGCTCAGCGGTTAAGAGCACTGACTGCTTTTGCAGAGGACCCGAGCTTGATTCCCAGCACCCACATAGCAGGTAACAACTGTCTGTAACTCCAGTTCCAGGGGATTTGATGCTGTCTTCTGACCTCCGCGGGCATTGCATGACGTGGGTGCACTTACATACATGCACGCAATACACTCATACACATAAAATGAAAAATGAATAAAATTTTGAAAAAAGTTTGCCACCTTAGCTGTGGAAGAAAACCTAATTGAATTTATAATATTTTACTTCAGGTTGAGACTGATTGAAGTTGTAGAAGTTAGCATTTTTTTTCTCTTGTGAATTTTTCAATATGTGTTTCTTTAGGCGGAAAGAGTGCGGTGCTTACTGCTCTCATAGTCGGTCTTGGTGGAAAAGCAGTTGCTACCAATAGAGGATCCTCTTTAAAAGGTTTTGTGAAAGCTGGACAGAAGTAAGTGCTTTCTTCTTGTGCTTTTGTTTCTCCAAGAAGAAGTAGCTGCTTTAGAATCCTAGTTCATGTAGATATGACTGGAAAGCAGGCTTCTTTCCAGAAGAGATTTCATATCTTCATTCTTTTCTCTCTCCCATGTTGAGAACAGTGACCTTTGCTTCCTCTTATCCTCTGGACGGATAGCTTGTGTTACTTGATGCTGTGCACCTGCCCACTTAAATTTCTGCTTCTGTTAACTTTCTAGAAGAAATGTTAATGACAAATTAAGGTACTCTTTAAGCAGATATTTATAAGCATTATACTCTTGTGACCCAAATCTGGCATCAGCAAGGTCACACAAATATGATAGGGATGAGAGTAAAGTTAGTGACCAGCCAAGTTATTCCAGCACAGAATTTCTGTAACTTTCTGAGAATTCTAGAAAAATAACCTTATTCTCTGGCTCTACTTTTTAAATTCAGTGAACTTGATTTTAGGACCAGAATCACAAGTTGTTGTCTTCTGACATACTTATTTTTGATTTTTTTTTTTTGTTCTGTTTTGTTTTGACAAGGTCTCTTGTAGCCAAGGTTAGACTTGACCTTTTCATATCTACCTCCCAAGTGCTGGGATTATCGGCATGCTCTGCCATGCCTGGCTACATTCATATTTCTGTCAGAGGTTGCTTTCATATAACTTTATCAGTTACCTAATTTTGTGTCATTGCAGACTAGATTCCTTTTTACGAACAGCTGCTTTCTGGGTGGGCAGGCTTATATGACCTCCAACCTTTCCTTTACATTTCCTTCTGTTAGAAAACGGCTGCTCCACTAAGAAGCACCCTCTATTCTTTTTGATACTACCCTAGCTACCTCTAGAAATGTCTTTGTTTTTCATAAGTAAATAAATTCTGTTGTAGTTTTTTCCAGTGTGTGACCACTCTTGTTTTTTGAGACCAGGCTGGCCTTGAACTGGTACAGATCTACCTGCCTTGGAGTACTGGGATTAAAGGTGTGTGCCACCATGCCTGGCCTGGCTAAAGGAAACTTTGATAATTAACATTGATAAATAATAGGCTATGATACAGATTTCTTTCCATTTAGAATTTTCTACATTTTTCTTATATTTTGATACTTAAAAAGTAGAGTAGGAATAAGATTGTGAATGAAGAGTTCCATCTTCTTACATATTGCTCAGAAATACCTTCACAATCTTAACCTTAAGCCAGGTTCCAAATTGACACAAGAGAAGATAAATAGAAAATCATTTCTCATACTTGATGGCTTTGGAAGAGAACAATTTGAAGACAGTTCGCTAGCATAGTTTCTCCTTTTATCTTTCTTGGATTCCATCCCACAAATACTTCTACCAACCCTCTCCTTCCCAAACAAGTTATCTTTTGGACAACCTCAAACTTAATGCCAGAGACAGACCAGGCTCCAGGCAACTTGGGACAGGTGTATAGATTTTAGATGTAGAACACAGTAAGGAAAGATCTGAAATGCTCAATGGAAGGGCCCTTTATAGAAAAGGTCAGGGAAAAAAACCACATGGTGGCTTATCCTTGTAATCTCAACACTGGGGAAGCTGAGGCATGAGAATTGGATCCAAGCCAAGTCTAATCTAGACTGCTAATGAGTTCTAGGCCAGTCAGGGCTACATAGCAAGTACTGTCCTCAAAGCCAAAACAAAAATTGTGGGTTTTTGTTGTTGCTGTTTTCTTATCAGCTCTGTTTCGCTGCTTCAAGATACATGTTTCTCTTCAGGCAGTTGCTTCCTTTAGAGTCAGTGGTTTGTATAAGCTAGTGGTTTTTTTTTTTTTTTTTTTTTTTTTTGTAAACTTTCTATTGAATTTTTGTGTATTTCATACGGAACATCTTAATCATCTTTATACCACTTTCCCCATTGGCATCTCCCATAGTCCCCACCCCTGAACTGTAATTTATACATTTTGCATTTGTGTTAAGGCCCATCATGTCAAGTTACTGTCCCCGGATGTCCCTCAGAGCAAGGTCATCCACTCAGGTCTAAGCAGCCTATCAAGAGTTCCTCCCTTTAGGAAGATCAGTTCTTTCTCACCCAGCAGTATTCAGCTGCCAATAATTCTTCGACTAAGATTGGGTTCTACTGCCTATTTCTACTAGTTCTTTGCTGGGTTTTTGTCTGCTTAAGTTTACATAAATCTTGTGCATGCTGACACCATTGCTGTAGGTTCATATGAGCCAGGTCTCAGGACTTATTTCCATATGGTCATGCATCTCCTCCCTGGCTCTTACAGTCTTCCCACCCCTTCTTCTGCAATGGTCCGTGAACCCTGGGTGGGTAGAGTTTAATATAGGAGTCCTGTCCAAGGACCTACACTCTGCAGACTCTTGATCTCTACACTTTTGGCCATTTGTAACCTTTTGCATTTCTGGCCCTCTGTTGCATGAGGGAGCTTCATTGCTGAGACTTGAGAGATGCATTAGTGTTCTCTTTACTCCTTGCTCTATGTTCCATGAGCCTTAGGTATAGAGGTTGCATTGTAGATGTGTCACTTAGGTTTGGGCAATTCACAGATAATGTCTATGCATAACTAGTAGTATTTTTTAAAATACTACCATGCCTGGCACAAGTGGAAACATTTTAAGTATTTAACTAAAATACAAAGCATTTCATGGTACATGTAGAAAATAATATCATTTTATTCTAATTAAACTTACAGGTGGAAACATCACAGAGCTAGTTTAAAGAAGCCACTCAAACATTTGCCTAGTCTCTTACTCCATAGAGTTCAGTGAACTTCTAAAGAAGTAAACAGAATGGCCATTCTAGAGCAATGGAGCTTCACTAAGTGGATAAATGAATAAAGATGTAATTAATAGTGAAAGTATAAATCCATGTTATATTAAAAAAATGATTACTGAAATATCAGTGTGTTATTTGACCCAAGAAGACCAAAAGATTGAGTAATTGAGAAGTGGATAGTTAAGTACAATGAAATGAAGCACTTGGGGCACTAAAATAAATGTGTATTTCAGACATAACTTTCTTTTAGTGTCTGGCTGTTCTTTTGTGTCTTTGTTTCTCCCGCTTCCTTGGGCCTGCCAGGCAGGTCTTCCCTTATACCACCTCTCACCATTCCTTCCTTAGTTGGCTCTGCTTCACTCAATGCTGTCCTTTCTCTTTGTGTAGTAGCAGTATGTGGCTTTCTCGTATTGTTTCTGGAGTTTTGTGTGCTCTTTCTTATTCTTTATCTCAGTCTTTGCCACTCTGTCTTCATGTCTGCATTTACTAACATGATGATACCTTAGTCAGGGTTTATATGTGAAGGAAGTGGCTGTGTCTCTGAGTAACAGTCAGTACCCGAGGCTATGTGACTCTTTGTGTTAGTCTGTTTAATTTTCTATAGCTTACCTATTTTGTGTCCCTGCTTTTCTCTGCAAACTTTAGCTTCTCATCAGAGTGTCATGCTCCAAGTTGAATTGTGTATTGAGACCTCATGTCTTTTATAGCTTCAATGAACCATGGTCATGTTGAGATATAAGTAAGTCTTTTTATGTAGATTTATAGAAGTGTTGTAAAGATAACAATGTCTTCTCTATCCTTCATGCAGTTTCTTCAGTGTTGCATCCTACATAGCTAACATGTATTTAAACCAGGCTATGCAGTTGATACTGGTATTGTCTTCACTGAAACTATAGGCATATTTTTGTGTTTTGTTGCTTTTCTTGAATTTGAGGGTTTTTTGGGTTTTTTTGTTTTGAGGCAGGGTCTCCCCATAGTTCCAGCTGGCCTGGAACTCACTGTGTAGACCAGGCTAGCCTCGACCTCACAGAGATCTGCCTGCCTCTGCCTCCAGAATGCCAGGATTAAAGGCACCCCCTTGCCTGGCCTTCCTGAATTTGAGTTTTAAAAGAGAATCTGACAGCTCCGTCAGACTTCTCTGTTTAGTCCAGTTCTTAGAGATGGGATTATGACTTGATAGGGTTGCTGAGTTCTTTATTTATTTGAGGATACTTGTAAAGAAGAGGTTGGGGGAGTAAGCATTGCAAATACTGCCTTGTATCTACTACTATCACATCTGTAGTGTATAGTAAATTCATCTTGAAAGTTTTTCCCTACATTTCCCAG